TTCACGCAGCCGCAAATGACATCACAAAGTCCGAACCAATAACTACTACAACGCAAACAACATAATTAGCCGTTTCAATTTAATATATACTGTAGTATATATATATATATTATAAAGACGTAGACATACAATGAATCAGTAATATTAATGTAATTAATGGCGAATTCTCTTCGCTAACAGACTTAATATAAGCATTAACTTACTAACAATACAATGGATGACGCTATCCTGACAATAATTTTATACATAAGTATCGAGTCATTCAATGGATTGTTAGTAAGATAATGCTTATATTAAGTCTGTTAGCGAAGAGAATTCGCCATTATTTACATTAATATTACGGATTCATTGTATGTTTATTTCTTTATAATATAAAATATATGCTGCCCAATATAATACGTTTATAAATTATATATACTATATATTACAATATATAATATATTGTAGAACAGGTATATTGACCTTGACTTGTATAAAAATACGTATGCTGTTGTCACACTGAATGATTTTCAAACCCTCAGTCAGTACATAGTTAGTGAAAGGTTGTCGACCCCTGTACTATTGGTCCTAAGCAATACCGATGTGGTTAAACGTCTTACTTCTGACGGCCTCCTTTCGGGTAAAAAATATGGCTTCCGTTTCTCCTGGTTTACCGTCGATTATTTAATGGGTACCATTGAATCTCTCCATGAAGCTTTAGATAAGAAAGGCGAAGATCGGGGTGTAAACTTTCACATCTCAAAAGCGGTCGACAGGTTTTGCTATTTTGGCCATCTGCACATGCTCAAGGTCAACGATGTATCAGGACGAAGATTTGGATTAATCCTGTCGTTCCTAACAAATCGTGTAACGAAGTTCGTCTTGAACGGACACGCTTCTAGTTCATTTATTTTAAAACCCTAAGTCGGTATATAGCAAAAGGTTGCCAACTCCTGCTATAACCAACTGTGTCGGCTTCATAGGTATTTCTAAGATTGCTTTATCACTGCCCAATATTTTACGCTTGAAATCAACCTAATAATTATAATGTTCCATTTTGGCAAATTACATTCAACGCGTCATTCATCTGAGGGGAGTTCCAGTCTGCTATCTTTTCCATTTGTAATGATGCCTTTCTTTGTAATTTTTTCCTCTTTTAGCGCATGGCAATGATCTACAAGTCACAGACATCGATTTTAGCCAACCACAGGTGATCTATCACGTTTAATCAGATGTTAATTAGACGTCTTCAATTAAATGTTACGACAAAGTGATACGCGACTTTTAATTTCATCTCCACACTAACGTCGTGTTCCACTCTTACAACTTACATCCATTAGCAGCACCAGGCACATAAAGTGATATAGATGAATAGAATCACACACACACATACAGGTATGCGAACAGAACTTTTTACACACATACACATACACACTTACCAGACTCCATCCCAAACATATTAGTAGAAAATTAAAAAACATAACCTTATCCACACGTAAAATAAGACTAAAGATAATGGAAGCCTTAATAATGAAAAATAAAAAGCCAACACTTAATAATATAAACTACGAAGACGGCCACAATGTGCTGTGTTCGGAAAATAAAACGCCCCTATAACTCTAGATACATACACACAACATATACACACCCAATTAAAAAGCAAAAATAAAATTATCCTTGATAATGGCTAAATGTATAGCCGAAAGCGCTCGGAATTACAGGACAGTTGGACAGTTTCTACACACCCTGTGTCCCAAAAAGAAAACACTTGTTTGAACAGAAGATAAATTAAATGGAAAGCTTAATCTTGTCTGTCGTCTTTAACGGAACATGTATTAATGTAGGATTGGTGCTTAAATGCACAATATATATATATATATATATATATATATATATATATATATATATATATATATATATAAATTTCATTAAAAACGACTGACCAGGAACTTAAGTTTTTTATTTATTTTTTCTGTACTTTTTTTGTATGTTTTTTTTCTTTTCTAGACCTAAATAATGTAGAAATTATGCGAATGTATGTCCGAGAGCTTTCGGATATACTTTTAGCTATTATCAAGAATGATTTAATTCTTACATTTAACAGAATATATGGATTGTATTATTCATGTATTTAGATAAATGATTTATTTTCCAAACACGGTCAGTACATTGTGGCCTTGTGTGTGTGTATACGTGTGTTTATGTGTGTGTGCAATATATATATGTGTGTGTGTGTACATGTGTTTTGTGTGTGTGCAATATATATATATATATATATATATATATATATATATATATATATATATATATATATTAGTACATAAAAAAAATCACAAATTACCTCATATGGAGAATAGAACTCAGTCTATATACCTACTATATATGTAGGCTTTGGTTGAATAAGTCTGATGAAGTTTTCGCCGGTTGAAATAGGTCTGTTCCCCATATGAGGTAATTTTGAACTTTTTTATGTACTAAATTATTTGCTCTGTAATAATAAAAATATTGAGCACATTTTGTTGATCAGTGTTAATATTTTATATCACTAATATCCACTTGGATTATATACCAACATATAGGGAGGAAGTGGGAGTTTGTACACAGTCACTATTAAGGCTAATAATTCAAGACTCTTCGGTAAATCGAATCGAGTTCTCCCAGTCACTGTGTGTTTATCTAAAAATAAATACGCTTAAATTCACCTTCATCCGACGGCTTAGTGGTAGAATCCCCGACTGATTTAGAATCAGTCGGGTTTCGATCCTAGCTAAAAGCAACTGGACGTCTAGCCACACTGATGAGCTGAGATACAGCGGAACAGTCTGTCTGAGGATGACAAAATATATGCCCCTGAAAACTTTATTTCGGTTGAGCTCTCTGGGGAGGAAATATATATATATATATATATAGAGAGAGAGAGAGAGAGAGAAGAATAAAAAAAATTAAAATCTTCAGACACACTGGGTTGTAGGTGAATATTCTTTCGTTTTTTTATTATTATTTCATTTAGAAACTCAACTAGTTTCGGGCAAAATGGCCATCATCAGGAGAAGAAATATTTCTGCTTGCTGGTAGCAGTAAACTGCAGAAATGAATGTCTTGATAGAGAAAATGAACTTTTGTCTGTAGTTTTCATTTTTTTTTATCTTTTTAACATGAATCTTTTAACATTCCTTGTGTTAGTGTTTGAGATAAGAGCTGGATGGATCTATGCTTCTCTGAATTCCCCTGGTTAGTTTGACAGTTTTATTGGTCCTGGAGAGGGGATGTGTCTCTGTTTAGTGTTTGTGTGTGTGTTATTTGGTTCTTCGGGAGTGAGTGAGTATGATATGTGTAAGCGTGTGTATTGCTGTGGGTGTGCGTTATCATTTGGTTCATTAGGAAGTGAGTGAGTATGATGTGTGTAAGTGTGTATATTCGTGTGGGTGTGTGTATAAGTGTGAGGCCTCAACACCTCCGTAAGCCTGTCTGTCTTTTGCGGGTGAGAAATGTGGGTAGGTTTTGATTTGTAAAGTTATATATTAGTACTATCTATATTGTTAAATTTATGGTTTAGCCCGGCTGGATGTTGTGTTTTTAGACGTTGTATACACTTATTTTCATGGAACTCTAAAATCTTTAGTTAATTACTAATAATTCTTGGAGAGTTAATCGAACGATTAAAAAAAGATTCGTCTACGATACTCTGGAGTCGGAGAGCTGATTATAACATCAATCAAGTAACAAATTTGATATTTGTATCAATCCTACATTTACTTTATTTGAATTGAATTGTCTCCTTCGAAGTAATCTTTTGTGAAGCAGTGACAATTACCGACTCCTAAAAGTAGCTACAAAAATCTGCTCTCTATTCATATCCTAGGCGATGTTGAAACTGCTTAATTTCAGGCGTGGAACCTCAAGTAACCACTTTTATTTTAGCTGTCATTTAAGCGATATATGGGTAGCATTTAAATATTTGGTAATCACTCCTTTGTTCGGTGTTCAACCATTGGGTCCCAGTGTGCCGGAACTACATTAAAATGCATAAAAATATCTTTGTACATGGTCGAGAAGAAAGACATAATCTCGAGAAGCAGGCGTGCGTGTATTTAAAATTTCAACTTTATTCTGTAAAGATTCTCAGTCTTTTGAAAAGATCTTCCTTTGTTTAATTTTCTATTCATATTATGATTTAGATATTTTTTTTTCCCACGTTTTCTCATTTTCTTTCATACATATTCATTTTCAGGATAATGAATTAAAGAACTCAATTTCAAGATTTGAGGTTTTTTTTTCTTCAAGAAAGGATGAATTTTTAAAACCAGTTCTGCAATATTCCTTCATTTTAACTCCCCTACTAAATGTAATATGTTCCATATAATAATAATAATAATAATAATAATAATAATAATTATACTAATAATAATAATAATTATTATTATTATTATTATTATTATTACATAGCGTCATATCTTTTCCTAACAGATATGATCGATTTTTTTTAAAAATTCTCATCTAATGAATGTCATGCTCCATTTTCTTCTTTTTTTATTCATCGTTTAAAACCTTTGCTTTCTTATATTTACTCTCTGCTTGATTACTCCGACGCGGCGTGGCTGTTAGCGTCTTTGTTTCGCTAGATCATTTACGCCTGAGTAGCGAGTTCGATCTCTGCGCTAGGGTTTCCATGTCTGTGGTTCTCTTAATAAACATTTTTTTTTGTTCTTTCCTCTTTGAATTGGTGTATTTATATCTATTTTATTTTACAGACTTTTCTGTTCCTTTTTTTTTTTTTCGCTGTTCATCAAACTTATCTTTGTCAGAGGCAATGTCACTAGTCACTTAAAGTACTTGGTATTCCTACGCAATCACATAAGTAATACTTTAATTACTTAGCTTGACATCTTGTTTGACACAAGGTCACAGGTCATTTACTGTAGCTTCGGTTCTTAAATTGTTATCTGGCCACTTTCTAGATTCAATATCCTTTTTTCCGACTGTGGTGGATTAGTCTCACTTTGTATTCTTACTGCCATATTGCGTTAAAACAACGGTTCCTCTACGATCATCGAAGTTAAGCAACGTTGAGTCTGGTCATTACTTAGATGGGTAACCACTTCGGAATACTACGTGCTGAAAGTTTGGATACGGGGGCGATATAATGCTTAACGGCTTGGGATTGTTAATCGTAGAATAAACCTTTCCAGTTGAGTTCGTTATATTCACACTCGCAGATACCCTTGGGAAAGATATGAATTTACCTTTTCTCCTCCGACTATGGGTTAAATAGTTAGTATAATTTTAAAATAAAAATCATTATTTTCTCCAAAATCTGAAAATCTAAAAAAAAAAATAATTCTGGCTTTAGATAACCTGCAAAGGGTTGATAAGCCGTAAAAATCAAATCTTTTTGCCGACTTTTTATTGTGAGGCTGGTTAGTCTCACTTTGTATTCTTGCACGCTTACGGCAATATCACGTTAAAAAAAACTTTTCTACTACGATCACCGAAGTTAAGCAACGTTGAGCCTGGTCATTATTTAGGTGGGTGACCACTTAGGAATAACAATGCTGTAAGCTTGGATATGCGGGTGATATAATGGATAACGGCTTGGAATTGTTCATCAGAGAACAAAGTTCCAATTCCAGTTGGGTTCGTTATATTCACTAGCGGATATAACCTTGGGAAATGTATGAATTCACCTTTTCTCCTCCAGCTATGGGTTAATTAGTATAATTTGTAAAATAAAATTCATTTTTGTCGCCAAAATCTTCTGAAAATCTTCTGAAAAATCTGAAAAATTATGGCTTTAGATAACCTGCAAATGGTTGATAAGCCGTAAAAAATCAAATCAATCTGAAAAATGTATTCTTGTCTTTTGTATCTTTTACTTTACTTTCATTCTTTGTATTTTATAATTTCCTTAATCTTCGTCTTCCTTCATTGCTATTTACTTTGATCTGCTGTTTATCAGTCTTTAAAAAATACTATGTCTCTCAGAAGGTTGAAGTATATGGTTCTCCACTGCTTCCTTTTCTTTATTATCTCTAAACTGCTATGATATTTTGGGAAAGATAGTGGAGCGGTCTCCGTTGCCTTCTTCATGCTTTAGAAATCAAAGTAGTCTTTTTCTAAGGCTAGAGAGTCCAGTCTACCCTACAATTTATTCCGTAGACTGAGGTGCGAGAAAAGGCGGTTTGTCCTTCTCCTAGCGTGGATAATTCTCGAGACCAAGGATCCTGCTATTTAAGTTATAACTTGTGGCTGGAAAAAAAAAAAGGCCTCTTCACTTTTCCAGGTGCATTAGTATATCGTGAAAATTATATCTTGTCCGAGGCTGGAATAAATACAGCTTCGCGTCAGTAAAGCAACTGAATTTGAATTATAAAAAAATACAGGTCAGGAATTAATAATTCAAGATAATATTAAAATTATAGTTAAAATTATTGTGATAATTTTATTACTAATACTTTTAAAGATGCCACATCTCTTCACAACTTAAGCGATCATTGCTCTCCACATTTTCCTTTTCTTTATTTTCTCTAAATTGCTATGCCATCTTGGGTAAGATAGTGGTGAGATCTCCGTCACTTTTCTTTGTGCTCTTGAATTCAGAGTAGAGTAACTCCAAATGTATAATACGCATTTTTTTCTTAAAAAATAATAAGCAAAATCAGAGGTGCGTATTATGCAAAACTACAAAAACCTTTAGAATGTGCCGTAAAAAATAGAAATTATCATAAAACTAAATTAGAATAATATTATTATATTTTTAAAACCATTTTTTTAAAATAAGAGAAGTAAACGCTGGCCGTAATGAAACTGGTGAGGTACAATTTATAGGGTTTGATTACCAAACAAGGGGTGCGTATTATGCGTGTGTAAAAGCATTTCCCACACATTCAGCACAATTTTAGGTGTGCGTATTATGAATGAATGCGTATTATAAATGGAGAATGACGATAGTCCTTTTCTAAGGCTGGAGGGTCCAATCTACTCTTCTATTTAACTTGTAGCGTGAGCTGAGAGAAAAGACGTATTCATGCCTTCCCCAAGGCTATTTGTGCGGAAGTTAATTTAACTGATTAGGTCGTGACTTGAACTCTTTTCGCTGATTCCACTTTACACGCGAATTCTTCACATCATGTGTTCGCCATTCTTTTTTCTTCTTAGTTCTCTTCCCCCTATTTTTCTATTTTCTTATTCATCTGACCCCTCTCTTTATTTCCTCTTTAGTTCCTTTCAGTATTCTTTCCTTTATATTTGTCGTTCTATTTTTTTAACCATTATCTGATCTTTTATTTGTGTCGTTTTCTTCTTTGCGTTCAGTTTCTTCAATAAAACAACAAAGAATTTTCTTGAGAAAAAACACATCACGAATACTAAAAGCAATTTTTAAAAAGCGATTCTCTCAAATCCGAAAGATTGTTTTTCAAGCCTTTACTGAAGTTTTTTTTCTTTCAAATTCCTATTTTCAAAAAACACAACTGAATAAAGAGAGAGAGAGAGAGAGAGAGAGAGAGAGAGAGAGAGAGAGAGAAGAAAATGGCAAAAAAACATTTGAGTAAATTAACGTTTAGATCTCTGGGAGAAAATTGGTCTTATATTTTTAAACTCTCTCAAGCCACATCTTTAGGGGCCCTTTTTTTTTTGTTCTACCGCCTACGTCGAAAGAATCAGAAGTTTGAATAAAGAAGAAGCTAATACATTTAACCCGAGAGAATCAAACGTAAAAGCGACATCTTTTAAAAAAGTAAAAAAAAATGTCAATCTTTCCAACAAACACAAATTACATATTTTATTTTACTTCCTTTTATTTAATCTTATTTCCGGTTGCTATTTTTAATGCTTTCTTCGTCGACTTTTTATTGGTTAATTCTTATTATGTTAATATCCCCTCCTTTCTCTCTCGCAGCTGTGTTTTATCGGTTCTTTCTTTTTGCTAATATTTATTTGATTAGCTCCCCTGTTTGATATTATCTCCCCTTGTATTTTTTTTTTTTTTTTTTTGGTGAGGGACTTCACTTTTTTTAACATCGCTAACTTTTTCATGTCTTCTGTATAATTTCAAATCATTTTATTTTAATGATAGATTTATTCGTATCGCTCTTTTCTCGTTCTGATGTTTTATTCAGCCGAGCTGGTTTAATGTATGGCCAACGCCGGTCCTAATGCCGTCACAGTGACGCTGATGACGTCGAAAGGCGACAACAGAATTACACGTTTACGCCTAGATGAGGCTGCTGCCCCTGAATAAAAATGAGCTTTTCGTTGCAAATGCGCATGCGCAAAGCAGAGAAGTGGATGTGGAAAGAGGTATGCTTGAAGAGAGAAGAAAAAGTTGCTCGAAACAGCTTTAAAATATTCAATGTTTCGCTTTGCTTTCATTTGCTGGATTTGAGAACTCGAATTTTTTACTCGATATGCTTTCTGGTAGTTTTTTTTTTTTTTTGGTGGTGGGCTCTTTTACATATTAGGCCAAATATATGCGCATGCGCAGTCATATATCTATTTATGCTCCTCTAAGTTCATGGCAGCCAATCGATTATTAGATGACAACATTTGTTCTTGCCGTTGAACAGAACTTATATTGAAGGTAATTCAATCGTCCTGATTGTTTTAAATTAAAAATCCGAACGTCCATATTCCAAACAAAAATAAAATAAAAATAAAGAAAAGATAGGTATGCCGTTTAAAGAAAGCAGTTGTATTTAAAGAGACGTAGATGAATTCAAAAGTAAAAGGAGTAAAAATAGTCTTTAGATGAGTTAAAATCTTTGGCTACTTAGTACACAGAAAAATCTGTGGTGTAGATAAAACTTTTAAATAGTTGGTCAGCAGAAAAAAAGCTGTGATTAATGAAATTCTTTTATCATTAGCGAAGATTCACTGAACTTCTTTTTTCTTGTTGGGGATGGTTTGTTTGAAGTTTCCAACATGATCGTCACAGAAGATTCACTGTTCCTTTAAGCACGCGCTGGTGTGGAGGGAAAGAAAAATCAATGTAGCGACGTCTTCTCTTCCGCTTGAAAACAGTCGCATCACTGCTCTCTATTTTACCGGAAGTAGACTCGAAAAAAATAGGCTTTTATTTTATCTGGCTGGTCAAATATTTCACATGGTGATGATCATTTCTAACCAATAGACACTTTGGTTTAAACGGTGTGTATTTTATGGTGATTTTTTTGGTAATATTATCTGTTGGGTAGAAAATAAAGTGTAGGCCTGTTTTAATATGACATGTATATGGTTATGTAAATTTTGTAATTTCTTATAATACGAACGAAACGATTTTAACGAATCACTGAACCTGTCGTTTGTATATAGTGTAGAAAAGCAGAGAATAACGAAAAATAACCTAAGGACTCGAAGTCAGTTCTCAAATTAATTTTTTTATCGTTTTTATAGCATTTTAGGGCAATTCTGAGAGAATTTGAAGTCCTACCGGGATTCGCCATTGGCGTCCATAATCTTAACAACATAAGATACAGAGATGGCACAGTACTGATAGCAGACACAGAAAAGAAATTACAAACCTCCTGCTGAAGGTAGCTAAAGAGAGTGAGAAGAAGGGACTAAGCATAAACTACAAGAATACAGAATGTATGGTCATCAGCAAAATGATGAGTCCGAAATACGATTTTGAGGCCGGGGACACTAAAATCAAGCAAGTGCAGAAATTTAAATATATGGGAAAGGTTTTGACAGAGGACGGCAAATGCAACGCTGAAATCTGTAGACGTATTGGGATGGCCAAAGACGCATTCCAAAAACTAGGCAGAGTATTACGAAACACGAGGGTTTCTTTGGTAACAAAGACAAGAGTGACAAGAGCTGAGCTTCTACGTGGTATCTGTCCTTCTTTACGGCAGCGAATGCTGAATTGTCTCCTGAAAGATGAAGAAAAGACTTGAGGCGACGGAGTTATGGTTCTATAGAAGGACGCTAAGGATAGCATTGACCGAGCGTGTGAGCAACGATGAAGTCTTAGAGAGGTTGCAAACAAGGAGGAGTCTAAAACATCAGGAAGCTGAAATTTATGGGACACGTAATGAGAAAGGACGACTTGGAGAATCTGATACTCACAGGTCGAATAGAGGGCAAGCGAGACAAGAGAAAGCAACACATGACATATCTG